CTTTCCTTCTTTAAAGTTGTCTTTTTAAAATTTAATCTTGCTTTTATCAGGAGTACATAATTCTGATTCAAAGTTGAACTGAGCTAGCTAAAGTGACCAAAAACCTGTTTCTGGCTAGAACTTTCAATATAAATACTTCCGAATTTAGAATTCCACTATCTGTACACAAACAACAGCTGGAAAATGCACAGTTGTACCTAGAAAGGACACCTATTAAATGTCTCCAGCTATAGGATCAAAAATGTCAACTCACATCTCAGCTATAATATAAACAGTTTTCCAATTCAGAGATTGAACCTTACTATTCATAGAAGACTGAGAAAGACAACACACGTACCTGAGTGCTTGCACACACCCCCCCACTCCCATATAAAATACATGCATAAATGACACTAGATCAGCTGATGTACACCTGATCAATGGCAATCAAATAATAAAAAACAGGAGCTGGGGTTAGTTCTTACTAAACCAAAAATCCAACCCAAACAATACTGGAGGGACTCAAATAAATAAGGGAGTAGAGAAACCTTTGGTGCAGAGGGAAATGTAACAACCAAAACAAGAGAGCCTGAGTACTGCAAGGGGCTTCTGCCACTTCTCAAGGGTGGCATTAGGCATGAATTCCCCCATTAGCATTGACAGCTGCCTGAAAAAGACAAGAGTTCGAGTTTTAATAGCATTGTACACCTGCAACGTTTTCAAATCTTTTAGACGCACATATTTCCAGATAGGAAAGCCCAGGCAAACCAGCATGTGGTATTTATACCGGAGGAGGGAGTTAAGAGTATCCTTGTGAAACAGGGTTGCTAGACCACACCCACTTCCACACTTCTCTTGCTGTGGTTTCACCACCAGCTCGGGAACAAACTCAGCTAGAAGTACCACACTTTCTACTTCCTTCCACCTACTGCCATCCACCAGGACAAGACAAAGCCACATTACTCTCGAAACAGAGACTGGTGCAAATGATGAGCATTCCCTCCCTTTTTTGATACTATTTAGCTGCTACAAAGTCAGAGGTGTCCTCAACATGGCAAGTACTGCAGAGTGTTTATAGAGGGGCAGCTGGATTACAGCAATCATCCGAAAAGGGGAAGAGAACATCTTGAAATAAGTGCAAGCCTGCCAATGCCAAGACATTTGCTGTTGCCTTTTCAGCAGATCAGCTGATGATACAGCAGTTCTAACAGCTGACTGCTCCTTTAACAAATATGCTCACGAATGCAGCATGTAAATACAACAGTTGTCTCCAGTACTCACCAGCAGCCTCCAGCAGCAATGAAACTCTCACATGGAGACCAAGGACCAGTTACAGTCTTCAAGGTGCTCCCCTTGGGCTCTCCAGGTGTTTGAGGTTACAGCTGTATTCCCCAAATCTACAGTGACTACCAACCAATGCTATTCTGAGAGTTGCATATACATCTGGGATCCAAATAACATCACTAAATCAATTCCCTAATTATAGAGGCTAAACAAAAAATAATTTAATGACCTTGTTACATTATCGTATTAAAAAGAAGACAGATTTTCCCAACAGGAATGAAAGCTATTTATTAAATCAGTCTGCCCATTCTCCCAACAGAAGCTGCCCTTGCAGGCTGCCAATGGGCTAATGACAGCCACTGTCCTTGCACCTCCTCTGGGGAAGCTGTTGTCAAAACTGAGCAACGCAGAGGTGAAGGTGTATGGAGATCGTGGGTGGGATGGAATGGGATATGGACGAGCTCTCTTGGCTGACACCCCCAAGCCCCAAGTCATCTCATTAGATGAAGCAGACGCCAACCCACTGCCTGTGTAAACTGTCCCTGAAGGAAAGGGTAGAGCAGATCCTTCCCTATCCCGCTCCACTCATCCTGCTGCTTACTGAGCCAGTGATGGTTACATTGTTCACATGCACAGTTAGTCATTTAATTTCCCACATGACTTTTGGGCCAAAAACCATTCCTGGAAGGGAAGGCACTACTGTTCTGACTTGGAAGCAAAGAACCAGAATAGAGACAAAGCGAGGTAATGTTTTTCTGGTCCTACTCGGACTCAGCTTTCAAATTTTAGACAACACTGCCATTAAAAAATGAGAACTCATTTTGTAGCTCCCCCCAGACTCACAGAAATTATGACTCTCTGATTTTAAATTAACTGTGATTCTAACTTAAATGTGACAGGAGAAAGAGAAGTGTTGAAGAAAACAGATCAATTAAATGCTGATTTTTAAAAGGAGGAAGAGTGAAAGGATTGGATAGAATCTGAACATGTAGGAAAAAGTATTGAAAAGAGGGAAGGGTCATTTAGCAAGTCATCGCTGAGAGCGAGGGCCTAATGAGATGTTTTGCCTGGGCCATTTCTAACCAGGAGTGATCCACAGGTGGCTGCTCCCTTCATTACAGATGCCAAATCTTGTCCTATAATTACAGGAGCAAAGAATTTTCTACAAATTGATAAAGTGCAGCACATGAGAACAAACAGAGAACAATAACATGCACGGATGGGAGATAGCAGCACATAGAACAATTTTCTCTGGGTTGAGAAAGTGATCTGGGTGGACAGGCACAGCCACAGACCCCATACTTTGCTGACCGTTGCCTTATATGTGCTCTACATGTGGCACTTGGCACTGTGTTTGGATGCAAAGAGAGTATGCCATGCATTGTGTATTTACAGCTTGAGAGGAGAGTGACTAGAGCTAATGAACAATACCAATATATATTTCACAACTGTTAGATCAGAAAAAGCATACTGTAATGCTTTCAAATAATTTTTAAAAGTGCACGAGAGATTGTGATAGATATGCACTGCTGGTATTGCACAAAGGGTGAGAGGAAGGACAGGGAGCAGGAGGCCCTTGGCTGCAGCATGGCTCTGTTTTTGTGCTGACCGGCAGCAGCAGGGCAGGGTAGCTCACTGCTGCTTTGCTCCTTAAAGATGCCTCCAGGAGAAGGAGGGCACTCTCTGAATTGTGGTGCCGTGTGAAAGCAAAGACCATTGTCGTGCTCGGTATCAGCTGAGCAGTCAGAGCTGGCAGCTTAACCATCACCCAAAGCACAGGGAGGGCTTTTAAGGAAGAGAGACTCTCCTAGCTGCAGGCACATTTAAGGGGGTCATAAACTGGATTCCTGCATAGCGCTCAGAGCTGCAGTACTGACATGGTATCCAAGTAATGCCTATCAGTCGCTTCCTCATCTCAACAGCAGCTGTGTTTTCTGCAAGAGGAATGGTAGCTAAAAATAATCTGGCTTTGACTTCCTCTTTCAAACCCTCCAGTCTCTTTAGAAAAGATTTTTTTGTTCTCCCAGAAACAGTAAGGAGAATATAAGAGACAAAACCAGAACAGTGACCTGCACAAAGGGAACAGCAGCATTAGAAAGCTCAGAGAACCGTAGGAAACTACAATAAAGATCAGGAATAGTAAAAAAATTGTCACAGTTTTGAGCAACATCTTGCAAATTCCCTTTGGCACTTGCAGCAAGCTTTCTGTTACGCCTTTACTTGTGTGACTCAGTGGTGCTGAGGAAAAGGGGAATACAATCTGGATGTTTCTGAATGCAATTCATTTGCTCATTAAAACATATTAAAAGAAAGAACTGTGCTCAGTAATCATCAAATGCACTCTCATGTCTGCACAGAAGAGATTTTTACTCCCTCATAAATATGTTTTACTTTTAATTCTGTCATCCATAGATCCACAAAATATGTCAATCCCACACCAAACATGCAAATGGAGAAGAGAATATTCAATTAATCCTTCAGTAACACAGCATTATGTATTCTCATCCAAAAACAATTCTACAAATACAGGGCTGCTAGGCATGTCCAGACTGCTGCACACAGCTTTTCATAATCCTTTTCATAAACAGACCTAATTCTATATTAAAATATGTAGGAGTTTCATATATAATTTTTCAATTGCAGTCCACAATTAGCCTGATACAGACTATACCTCAAAACTCCCCAAGGTAGCAATGATGATCTCTGTTTGAATCTAGTCTTGCAGAAGATGCCCACTCCCAGTAGGTACCTCTGGACACTACCAACTATAAACAAAATCATAAGCAGAATTCAGACCGTGACTTACAAACCTGCTGCTAACAGACCAATACCTGAAGTAAGAACAGTACAAGGGACAGAAAAAGAAATGGTGAATACATCTCCATCCTATTGTCTCAAATTCCAAATAAATATGTTGTACAATGTAAAGGGTTGAAAGTATACAAGAAAGCATGCCACTGTATATAGTTTATGTATTATAGGACATACCATGAGCTTTACCTATGGCATAGCCATTAACATGGCCTTATCCCTTCTCAAATCCAACACCAGAAACCATAAGCAACTCTCTGAGCGCTGTAGCATGAACAGCCACCTCGTCCTTGGCCAAGTCAGAGTGAAGACAGGGTCGCCACCTAAGCAGGGGATTATGGGAGCTCCTCCTTCCTCTCCCTGAATCCTTTCCCCACTTGGCAGAAAGCAGCACTCTTCTCCCTTCTCAGCTGCACCCCCTCACCATTTCCTCCCACATCAGTTCCACTGTCACCACACTCTCATGCTTATTTCCTACTTTCTGGTTTCTTTGCTCAGCCTCACCGATGCAACCCCACACCCCAGTTTCAGGGGTTATCACAAAGCTCTCTGGGCCAGAGACGATGGTGAGCCAGGGCTTGGCACCATCCATGGGCTGTCTCCCAGAGGTTTGGGGGGAAATCAAATCACCTGTGTACCAAGGCTAGCACAGCAGCTCTGCAGCTCTGACAGGGGTAAGGGAAGCACAGGTGCTACCAGTGAACTGGGATCAGGGCTTCTCCTTCGGCACTATGGAACACCAGATAAGAAAAAGCAAAAATAATTAAATCTTTAAATATCATGGTAGGTGATGTTAAAAGCAATCACAAGAACATAGAATATTAAGTAGATTTTGGTACCTTTTTAATAGGAAAATGGAGAAAAACAGGAGCTCCAATAAACCACAACAAAGAAAGAGAGAAAGTAAAAGACCTGTAAAGTAAACTGAATCCAAACATAAGCAATGTTTTATTGGGATATAGCAAGCAACCTATCAAATAGGGAACTGGTACAAACAGATTGAACAAGACTCTCTTTTAACAGAGATGTATGGTGATGAGACAGCTTCTTTCAGTTCTTAAAACAAGTATTCTAACTGTTAAGTAAAGCATTAAAAAACCCCAATCATTACAACACCAAAGACAGACAGTATTAAAAATGTGCAGAATTTTACTTTTTACAAATTTCTGCATAATGTTAGAAAACAATCATAAATTAAAAAAGAAATAAAATTAAGCTTTTGTTGTTGTTGTTTGCAAAGGAACACAAACCTTTAAAAACCAACTATATTTTACATTGGACTACTATTAAAAACAGGTGAAAACAAGTTGAAAATTTAAAGAACAGCAAAAAATACACAACCCAGTTTCACCTGTCAGCAACACCTTCTGCTATCGAAGGAGTTATGTTAGTTGTATGTACAGCTTTAAACATTGCAGCATACCACGAGTAAACCTTAATAAGGTCAAAATAGGACCCTCTGCAAAAAAGGGTGACTTGGCAAGTGTCAGTCCCATCCTAAAATTAAAAGTAGGAATAATTTTAATAGGTCTTCAGTGTAAACCAAAACCTACTTTAACTGGTTTCTCTCTCCTAAAGATGCCTGTAAACTTTATTTGGGGTTGGTTTTATTTTTTTTTTTGTATTTCAATTAATGAAATCAAGAACTTGTCTGGCTCAAAAATGAGAATGACATACCTCCCTTTTGTTCTGGATACAGTGATGTAGCTATCTCAACATGCTGACTGACACTTCCTAAAAGAGAAAATCATTATGTACTATGTAAAAAATACACACCACCTCTCTCAGTTCAGACTCAGTATATAGTATATTGCCAACTCTATCCAATAGGATATATATTGTAATTTGGTTTAAACTCTTAATAGATATATTCCCTCTTTACAAAGTTCCATCACATGAAACCAAATTGCTTATTTTTCCTTTGAGGTACAACATGACCCCAATGAGACAATTCGCTACAAAGAGTTGTTCTTTAGATGTTGTGTCTGTAGAGGTTTTACGTGATATTCATAGATTTTCAGCGCAGGCCCCAGTTTTAATGAAAGTCCAGTCAGTACATCATTTCTTGTCATCAACAGTAATGATTTGCCATCAATTTCCTATAAGAAGAATTAAAGAGTTGATAAAGACAAATGTACACATCTAACAGATGAGAATAGTCATGCAACAAAAGACTACTACAGAGAATCAGTCAGAAAAGAAATAGCAGCCTTTATTTTCCTGAAGCCACGTTTATAGCTGCTAAATTCTGCTGTCTGCTTTTCAAGTGGTTCACCTGTGCTGACTGAGGTATAAATACTATTTAGTCAAGCAAAAAATTCAAATGAGCCTAATTTCAAAATTCCCTCCTTGTAAACCTCTTTCAAATTAATAGCTACAAGTGCAGATTGCCTAATTATCAGCCATTAAGGGAAGGATACCCTTAAGAAGGCAGCTTTCTAAGTGCATTTCAGAATTACTATTGACAGCAACATGTAAGTTTAGACTCATCAGTATCTGCTAATAACTTCAGGTGCCTTCTTTAAAAGGCCAACCTTCCCATGCATCTTGTGGGGGAAAACAAAGAGAACACTCTTGCAATCAGAAATTTCAGAAGGGCCTAACTGGAGCTTGACACTCTGAGGTAACTTCTCTTCCTCCACTTACAAGGGAGGAGGAAAAAAATGGCAACTTGCCAGCTGAGGTCTCAACAACCCGTACACTTTCCTGCTTAAATATAATTTGTAAATCCGAGATACGGTGGCACTTTTTTCTCTCAGACCTTGACCTTCTGACCTGTTTAGGTTAGAAATCCTGTAGACTTTGGAGCTTTTTTCCATCTCAAAACCTTGTCATATGTTTGAAAACTACCTCTAAATGACTTTTCAAAGGTCAAAATGGAAAAGAAAGAATCCGCATCTCTCAACTCCCTCCTCCATTTTAGACACGGGATCATCCTTTTCGTCACACATTCCTACAGTTCAGTGACACTGCACTACTCCAGAAACAGGAGCTACAGCTACACAACAATGCATTGATTGGTGTCTCATAACACAGCCAGACATCCAAAGGGCATCACAGCCCAAAGAAGTATACAGCCTTATCTGGCATTCTCCTGCACTGGACTTCACTCTGCTGTTGCATTCTTTTTTTACTTTTAATTAAGGAAACTCCCACTGTTAAGTGCTGAATTTGTTATCAATAGCCAACAATGAATTCAAATGCTGGCATATTGTTGTTGTCCTCTAATATACTGTCAAAATTTAGTATTTTTATAAGTATTATAAATGTCACACATCAATTTATCAAACTGCAGCATGTTCCTTAGGAATATTAAATGTTGTCTTGGAAATGTTAGAGATCCCATTCTTGATTATAAGTCAACATGAAAAGAGGAAGATATATATTACAGTTCAGCATGAATTTGTCCAGACTGATCTCTCCTACAATTCGATAAAGTTTATAAATACAAAATACAGGGACAAACCACAATACAGTCAAAGATCAACTGAAAGTGGAATTTCTTTAAAATACCCCCAGGATACATAAGACTGTTAATCCCTCAGAGGAGCACAAAGTAACAGTATGTCTAAAAGAAAAAAAAGTTTCCAATAACTTTTTACCCAATTAGAGCAGGTCTCTTTCCAATTACTGTTGAGAATGTTAATGGTTAAAACCAGTTTCTATCCTCTCTTTTCCATTCGTCACAATTCTTTCTGTGGGAATTTTGACACCAGTGAGTATTTTGCTCATTGCTATGACCGATCTGAAGTTGCTTTTCTGCTGCTGTTCAACGATGCTATGGAGGAAGAACAGCCTCCAGCTTGGTAGGATCCCAATGAAGTAAATCCAGTACCTGGAACAGGAGAAACTCCAAGAATAGGAAAAAAGCATCTATTCCTTCCCCTTCTTCTTCTACAGGGTTCCCTGTGATTTCTAGAAGTGCTGGTAACTACTAAAGCTTTCATTGAATAGAAAACTGATTCTTTAACATCTGTGTAGAAATGAGTGATTATGTATTCAGAGTTCAAGCACTTTATATCTTTATGTGTATTGTAAGCTTTACCTCTTCCACTTCCTTTAAGTTTCCACATAAACATGCTTCTGCAGAATTGTCACAGTTACTCCATTTTTTGGCACCAGGTAAGATTTTGTATGCTTTAGTGACTTCTCTGATTTCTTCACTGCTACTTGTCTATTTTCTGTATTTTTCGGGGGGGATGCAACTTCAATGCCAGCTTTCAGTATGCCCTTTTTTTATGTTACCTGCAGAGAGACACCTCTGCACAACTAGAGCTAACAGTAATTTCCCACTGTGCCTGGATGATCTCAACAGCAGCTGAGTATTGTCTTCAGCAAAAAAACAGAGGACTGGTTAAGCTTCAAGTCCTCCCACCACTCCTTCTGCCCTCTCTGAGAACTGCAAGGTTTTACAGCACAGGCCACATGAAAGCACAGCAGCCAGCATGTTCCCACACTCCCCTGTGCCATGGCTCTGCCTGAAGGCAACAGTGGACACCAGCTGGTATCAAACCCCAGATTCCCCTCGGGTAAGGGATTGCAGCGAGGCCAGGAAACCAGCACTGGGCTTATCTGGCTATCGCAGGACTAATGGGTAAGAAGCCACATGGGCAATAACAAAGGTCACAGCACTAGCATGTCTTGAGACTTTCAAACAGCTTCAGTCTTGGAGTGAGCTACAGCCCCCTCTGCTCCCAGGGCTCCTAGAGAAAGCCCAGCCACATGCTGGCAGGCAGCATTTCTCTGAAAGTGTTCACACCTTCACCCTGCATCTGGTATTCCTCCCTCTTTAGGTATCCTCAACTTCTTGGCTTGTCTGATTTGCTTGCTGATGTTATGGTTTTTTATTACTGGGCAGCATCTTTGAGTTGAATGTGTTTTCATCAGTGAGCTCTTTTGATTTGCTGACATCAGTGGAACTCCAAGAAGGAATAAGGTATGATCATCATACAACCATCACTTCTTACCAGCACTTACAATACGGTTTTAATAAAACATTCTGCAGCTCTTAAAATGTCTTCTCATAGTCCTTAAAATATCGTAAGAGAAATTCAGGTCTTAAAAATTTTTTGAGTCACTTGTTTTAGGCAAGTCCAGATGTATCCAGATTCATCAAAAGAAAGTTGGACTTTGCTACTGTTGTGTAAAACCTGAACATAATAACAGATTACATTCTGGGCTATAGATGTTTTGTAAGGAAACCATTGTGCTACCCCTACCAAAGCAGTTCAGTGGTAAACAATTTCCCAGTGTTGTAGGTGACACTGAATACTTTCCTTTACCACTTACAACCTCATTCTTTTTCCAGTACATATTCAGGGCAGTAGCAGATCTAGTTTCTAGGGGCCCATGCAAACTGCAAATGGCAGAGGAAAACAGAGATGGCCAAAACTTTGACTGCATGACTGGTGCTCTATAGACAGAGCATGGCTGGGATTCAAACTGAACCTGTCTGCACTGCCATACCTGGAAGATCCTGATAACAGATACCATTAGAAGACAGAGTTAAAGTTAGTGGCTAGTAAATAGTGTAGAAGAAACTGAACACCACCACTGGTAAGAGGTTAGGGATAGGGTTGTTTATGGGGCTGTTTCCGATCCAGACAGGGAACAGGCTGGCAGAGCTGCTATGTAGAACCAGGTACTTGCTGCTCCTTGTGCTGCTAATGGAAAGGAGGGGCAAAGAAGTGGCAATGACTTCTGCAGTGATTGTCCATCCCACAGCTCCTAGCCACATCCTGGTGGCAGCTGTCTGCCTCTCTCTCCAAGGCTTTAGCATAAAGTGACACTGGCAGTGGAATCACAGCCACATTTCTGCACATGCCTATCCTATCCTAGCAGAGTTCTCAGTTATCGTACTGAAGCCACTTGCCCTCACTGCAGAATACTAGTAAAACCTTTATACTCCACTTCCCTGCTGTTTTCCATAAGGCTGTTGCAAATTGCTTTGCCAAAACTCGTGAGTCAGCCTCACCTTGCTGCTGAAAGATCAGTAGTAATTACTGTAGTATTATTGACAAGCCAGCTGAGGTGCAGAGAGGTTAAGATATTTGATGAAAGTCAGAAGTATCTGTCAGTACAAGATAAAAACTCCCAGAGGCCACAATTACTTTGTCTGTGTGGGTTTTTAAGCCACATTTCCAGAGCTGTTGAGGAGACATGGATGCTGGTATTAAGGAATGAACACACTCAAACGTTTTCTTTTTTGGTCTGTTTACCCATCTTCAAATTCTGAAAAATGAGTAGCAGCTGAAGAAAGAACCTTCATCTGCAACTTGCCAGAGAATCACCCAACGACAGGCTTTTCAACCCCAAGAATAAAGATACAAAAGATACTTCATTATATTCATCAGTTACAATCAGATGGGATTTCACAGACATAGTGCTGAAGGGCAGCAACATTAACCTGATCAACGATGTTATTTCATATGAGATGCACAGTGTCCCTGCAAAGCTGCCAATAACTTGCACTAGCCCACTGCCTTGGAAGATCAAGACATCTGTTTTGATAACTAAGTACAAATGTTGGTGACTAATTTCCTGGTAGTTGCACTTAAACCTACAGATTTATCAGGGAAGGTGCTGAACTGACAATCTGGAGATGTAAGTTACTCCCCTATGGAACAGGTGGGCTGTAGGCCAAGTAAGCTGACTTCCCCATTCTCCTCCCTTTACCAGTTTGCTGGTAGGTGAGTTACAAGGGGCCATCTGACTGTTAAGCTCTTTGCTGATCAAATCTACCAGAAGAAGCCATCCATCAGCATCAGCAGCTACAAGGCCCAGAAACAAAGACCCAACCACTTTCTCAGACTGTCATATGAACACATTGCTCCCCTACCAACTTATCCTTTCCCTGTTTACTTGTACTGCCAAGTTCACTGTAACACAGCAGCCCCTTTTTCACCCTGCGCCTTCAGAAAAAACTTGTTGCTTAGGAGCCCCATGTTTTATAAATACTCATGAGTGTACTTGCACAATACACTAAGAAAGAAGGGAATTACTATTCAAGACAATGAAATTGAGTGTGTTGTACAGGAAGACTTGAGTTCAAGCCAGAAAATTTGTTTAGATTTCTCATCTTTCTAATGACTATTTTAAACAAACTCCAACTCATTAGCCACAGCTTGCAGAAAAATATTATTACTCAAAGTTCATAGTCCCATGGATTGTCATCCAATAACAGACTCAAATCCCCTCATTAATGTGAGATTTTCACTCCCATTTTACAGTATATAGTCAGGCCTATGGCAAAAACGTGCAACATGAGAAACTGGTGGCAGTCAGAAGGTGTTTGATAACAGGTTTACCTGTTCTTGAAAAGCACTGGCTTGTTCTTCAAATCCAGCTGTTCTGAAATAATTCACAACATCAGTAACAGCCCAGTCAGCAGGATCTGGAGGTCTCCCGTTCTCTACTGAACTGCAAAGTGAAAATCCAGACAAGTAGTCACTAAATGTGTGCAGAACATCTGCTGCTTCTTTGTGCACACCACACGTACGGCCCCTCCCTCCTTGTTTCTTCAGGAAAAGCATTCTTGGATGCACCTCCCTCTGCCCTGATACAGAACAGTCATTCCTGTTCTTTTCCATGTCAAAGACCTAATGCTGGGGACAACTCCCAGGTACCTCTCCCTTCAGAAAAGAAGAAAATATAGGAATCTTCACATCAGCCAAAGGTATTCAGTCAGGATCTTCCTACAAGTGTGCTGCCTTTGCTGTTGGAGAATGAAGACTGCCATAACTGAGGATCCAAGTTCCTGTCCTTCAAGCCTTCAGCTTGTTTTCAGCTACCAAGTACCTAACGAATTGTGTGTCGATTATTCTTTTCCCAGATGAGACTGGGCTTCCTTGTAACATGGCTAGAAATTACTGGTAACCATCTTTACCTTATAAAAACAACATCAAATAATAAAACACAAACAAACAACATCCCCCCCCCAAAAAAAGAAAAACAGAACAAAACAAAAAAGAGGCACCAAACGATTGCACTTATTCTTAACATAGAAAATTTTTCATGTTTTTGGACTCATCTTCAGACAAATCTATGAACTTCCTAAATAATTATGAATCTGAGAAAACATCTGTTAAATACAATCAGAATTAATTCCTTCTGTGATTAACCTCAGGCAAATGTTTTCCACAGCAGCAAAACCAACCAAACATTCATATTACTATCCTTATTCTGCCTTTCTTTTCCTCAAACTGGAATCACTATATCACAAAGATAACCTTTGTGTATCTAAAAATTCTTGGTAAAAGACACACAGTGAGCTTGGTTGCCTTTTCTATTGGGATTTATGAGGATGAAGAGCAAGACATCAAAGAGTTTCTCTAACATGTTTCTCCAACTGAAAGTCCTGAAGTTCATGCCAAATATTTTTCACTGTTCTGCATGCTTAACCATAACACTAATGAAGAAATATTGAAAATGTACAGATCAGGACAGAAGTCAGAATCCTGTCCATTTCAGGGCTGAAGCTGAGCAGCAGGACTTGGATTTCAACAGCACCAGCTGGAAAAGACACGCAGATTATACTCTGCTGACACCATTTTTGTTCTGTCCTCCAAATTTTTCTTTTCCAGCTGTCACCACCTCTGCCTTGCCTGGACTTGTACATCTTTCAGCAAAATAATCAGGGTGTCAACCATTTTTCAAACCAGCCAAACAGAGTCACACAGAGTGCCTCCCATCACTGTTTCTACAACATCCCAATTTCTACAACTTTCTGAGCCCTGGGAAGGAGGACTCGTGAAAACAACAGTTTTTGCATCTCCCCTAACTTTTGAAATGTTCCTGTCAATATGGCAACAAAATCTGACTGCAGGGACTCATCCACAACCTATGCTGCACTTGGCCTTCTAGAAGCAGTCTCTTTCACTTATCATATATCTCAGAGCAATAAGCAAAGGACCAGAGTTTCTTACTTTTGCTCATCACATAATGACTTACTTTATGAATTGCTTCTCTGATTGTGATTACATAGAAAGCAACACTCAGTAAAATTGAACATGAGTGTTGGTCTTATCAGAGCTGCATTTTTTTCTTTTAATTTTTTTTAAGCCTTTCTCTTAAGATTTTTCAGTGTTGTGCACGTTCTGAAGCCTAAGAAGTAAAATGTTGAAAGCACCACACAAAATGTACACGTATTTATAAAAGCAGAATTTGAAGAATTATATTTAAATCTTTGCACTTTCCCTACATTATAAACTATCACTTCCAATGACTCCTCTTCTACTTAAAAATAAACAAACGAAACCTCAACAACTCAGTATTAGAAAAAACTCTAGGAGATACCGAATTTAATCCTGCCTAAACAGCAAATAAAAGGTTCAATCTGTAAAAATACATCCTGACCATAATTTGCTTACTTCTCCAACATTTTAATTTCAAGTTAAATATGGTCCCAAACCCTCCTTCCCACAGTTTTTTATCAGCCCAGGTGTGTTGGGGTTTTTTTGTAGATTTTCTTTTATTGCCAGGGAACTACAGCTTGGTCCAGCCCCATCCCAGGCCCAACTGCAATGACTTCAGGGGCTCTATCTCTGTCATTAACTAATTGCAGGAAATAATTGCAAGTTCCTTCCTCAAGGAATAGCATCATGCTGGACCTCAAGTGGAGCCAATTTCCACAGCTACAGCTGAGGAAGACTGGAAGGCATGTGGCAGACTGCTGGAGGCTGGCTGGATTTTAACCCATCTACCCACACAGATGTTCATTTAGCACTTAAATAGTCTCCTCCTTGCCCTGCTGTTGACATGGCTCTGTTCTTTAAACAAGGAAAGCGAATATGTAACATCCATAGCTTGGCTATGCATTGCTTTATGCCTGACATCCTGGATGCTGTAAAAGGACTTAAGAGGACTGGCATTTTAGGCTTTGACAGGAGATACTAGATGCACTGACAATGTATAAAGACTAGGCTTGTCTGTTTTTCACCAGTGTCCCTGTGCCTTTATTGCCATCATGTGGCAGAAGCAGCAAGGTCTGAAAAGCCATAGCTGAGAACAAACAGATTTTATCCAAGCTATTTATAACCACTTCAACAAAGTGTCAAATACTTCCTTTGTAGATAAGCACACAAACATACTATATATATTCATCTAGAAACCACAGCCCTGATCAGTTTAATTACATTTCCCATCCATTCTAAAAAGCCACCTTAGCAATCAGTATTTGAGCCTTTTTCACTGAAGCCTTGGGGAATACGATTAAATGTGAACTGTCCTTGCTTTGACTGCGACCCTTCTCCTCCCACCAGAGTACTCATTGTAGAAGCCAGACTGTCAACTGAAGGTGGCTTCTGAGGGACATACACAGTAATCCATTCACAGTCACTGAATAGGAAAATGCTCTTTATGTTGGTGTGGTATAGCCAGCATCTCAAGTGAAGGGGCAGGACGCTGATTTTAATGGCTGCCATCGGATCTTTTGATGCTGTGTCATAATCAGGTGTTTTATCAGCATCCTGAAGTGACCGTTATTATTATTTATATTACTCTAGTGCCTGGTAGCCTAAGCATTGTCTTGTTGTCTTGGATGGCTTATGTAAAAGGGATCTGAAGGAGAAGAATGAGCTGCAGCTGCGCAGAAGTGCTGCAGTTTGAGAGGACAGACAAAGAACGCACTCTAGTATCTTTCTTCGTGGTTTGTTGTTGGTTTTTTTTTTTTTTAATATACATGCATATGTGTACATCTATCTCAGCATGGCTTCTATAACCATAAAGCAGCAAGGCCAAACCATAAAGCAGCAAGGCCAGATTTTTCCACACAGAACTTCACTTCTCAGATCATGACTTCATTCAAAATTGCTAGTCCTAATCCAAGAATTTCCTTTAAGGATAAGTAAATGCCTACAAAACAGTCCCTATTCCTTGACCTGCAGTTTACCACATAAAAGGAAACAGTAGAGCAGTGTACACCGTATCTGTCTTATTCCCACCATAGGTCTGAAGTAAAAACCCAGCAGTTTAGGGCTTCTCCAAGAAACAGCTTAAGATATCTGTTTCAGAAGAGAACTGACACTGAAGTGATATGCTGCTGCTACTTCTCAGCCACTAGACAGGTGGGCTGACAGCAGAGAAGGGCGTATGTCTTTCTGAATGAGACAGAAAGCAAATTTCCACACAGGACACTTCTCTCCATTAGGCACTGGTTCTGCAAAGGCCATGAGCACACAGGTGAGCAGAGGCAGAATATTGGTTACAGTGCTACCACTTTCTCTAGTTGAGAGGAAAAAAAATTAATGGAGGAAGGTGTACCCCTAACTCAAGTTACCAGCTTCTACATCTCTCCACTGCTATACAGTCCTTCTGCACACCTCCTCTAAGCAACTCAGTGCCCTAGAGTCTTCCATTTCAAAGTTGAAATACAATAGAAATAGTTTAGAACAGACAAGGTTTGAAATGAGCAAAGATGGAGACACCCACAATTGCCAATCACATTAGGTCAAAGGAAAACTACATTCGAAATCCATGTCCTGTTTACAGAAAAGGAACACTTCGAATTCACTTACTTTTTGACATCCAGAGAGCCATTTTCCTTGTTTTCCATGTCAACAATTAGCATGGGGAGGATAGAGGCTTCTTTTACTTCAGCAACTGATTAATAGGGAGGGGAAAAAAGCAGTGTGTAATTATTGCTAGTATGACAAGAACAACATAATGTAACAGAAACAAGCATTCTACAGGGACACAAGCATGTTTCCACCTGAGAGCAACAGCGCTGTCAAAGACTGATTTTCTCAGAAGCTTGGCAAAGCCAACAGGAGCTAATGAACTAGAAAAAAGTTGACCTGTGCTTCAAACACAAGAAATATTTATTGCCTGAAAATCAAGGAATTTGATCCTTTTTAAGTGTTAAAATATTGATCAAATTATATATTCATATACGTGGAGACTGACCTACAATATACAGCTGCGTATCAAGAGAGCTTAACAGGCCTTCAGTCAGCCTGTGAGGGGTCCAAACAGACGCATGATCTTATCCTTAGAGAGGTTTGGAAATCATAGCCTTGCTTTACAAATGGGCACTCTGGGATACAGACGAGCACAGTCATTTTTGCCCATCTCACACATAAAAAACGTAAGCAGAATTACTAATTGAGCACCAAGCTCCTGAGGCTTACATCAGTATCTTATCCGTAAGACCATCCTTCCTGCACTAGCTTCTTTTATAGGTAGAGTATACCAAACTCCAAAAAGGGAAGGAGCACATGAAGCACAGAGGAGAAAATCCCACTAATTTCCCTCCTCACTGCGTGCTGCAGTACTTTCACCACATAGCTTTTTCCACCACTCCACAAAACACGCAGAAATGACCCGAGCCTTTCCTTTCTGTTCTCAAGTAAGCCATTTCTGTTTTAGAGAGCACCAGAGAACTGACCAAGGACTCAGGATGTTCTTGCTGTGTAGCATTAATGGATGCCAGTGAAATGGCACAAGCTCTGGGAAGTACATAACAGGGAAATCATGCTCCTCAGCTAAAACTTTGCAAAAATAGAGAACTGCAATTAACGCTGTTGTTAAAAAAAAAAAAAGGCTCCTTTATTAAACATCACGTAAAGCACCAAGAAGACAGTAACAAACTAATCGAAAAGATGCTTCCTGCAGCGCTGACCGAACAACTCCACGTCTTGCCCCGAATCACTTCTTGGTTCACCTGAGGTGACTGCAGGCGACACCCGCACCGCACTACCTGCCGGACGCCCCCGCTCCGCGGCCGCGCAGCTTCCCGGCGCCCCCCCCGAGCTCGGGCGGGCACCGCCCGCGGAGCCCCGGGGCCTGCCCTTCCCGCGGCCCCGCCGGGGCTGTGACACCCGTTCACCGTGTCACGGGCACCCCCGCGCCCGCTCGCCTGCACCGCAATCGGTAGCTCTGCCTGGGGCGGGGGAAGCAGGCAGAAAAACCCTACACTACGAGCAAACTAAACCAGTGCATGGTCCCCGGCTGCTGCGGAGCGCCGGAGCCCGCGGCCCCGCCCCCCCGGCGGCAGCGGGCGCTGCGCGGCGGCTCCGAGCGGCGGCGGCGCGCCCCGCCCGGGCCGTGACGGGCGCGCCCGCGTCATGGCCGCCGCCTTAAAAGGCGGCCGCGGCGGGCCGCGCCCGCCGGCGTCGGGTCTGCCCCGGCTCTCCCGCAGTCCGGCACGGAGGGAGCGACGCCCGCGGCGCTACCGGCAGCGCCTTACCCTGCGGGCAGCTCGAGCAGCGCCGGGGCAGCGGCGTGCGGGCACGGCGGGGCCGACCTGCCGGCGGCACACGGGGAGCAGCGCTCGGCTCCCGGCCCGGGACCTGAGTGCCTTGGGACCTCCCTGTGGACATTTCTACTCCTACCGAGCGACACAGCTGCTCTCAGTGAAGTTCGTCTCCATGAGGAAGGCAGCCTTAGAGAACACGGTGCCGGTTACACACTCTTTTGGTCAGGTAAACCCAGAACCGAAAGGCATCTCTCGGGTGTAGGCTTCATGATCAAAAACTCTCTTGTTCCTAAACTCGAAAATCTGCCGACAGGTCACTCTGACCGCATTATCTCCCTATGCCTTCCACTAAACAAGCAACACGTTGTCCTCTTTAGTATATATGCCCCAACTCTCCAAGCTGACCCTGCCGAAAAAGATAAATTTTACACCGACCTGCGCCGCCTTACCCATTATCCTTGGTGATTTCAATGCCAGAGTAGGAAAGAACTTTGAAGCATGGAAAGGAGTATTAGGCAAGCACGGTGTTGGAAACTGCAATGATAATGGTTGCAGTTCTAGCCTTCTGCTAGAATTCTGTGCAAAGCAACAGCTCACCATCACTAATACCATCTTTCAGCAGAAAAACAGTGTGAAGACAACCTGGATGCACCCCAGATCTAAGCATTGGCACCTCACTGATTATGTCCTGGTGCGACAGAGAGATGCCCGCGATGTCCACCATACTCGTGTGATGGCCAGCACAGAATGCCAAACAGACCATCGGCTGGTGGGCTGTAAACTCAACTTCAATCTCACATTCAAACCTAAAAGGGGCAGTATCCCAAGGAGGAGACTCCAAGTTAACAATCTCCAATCAGCCACAGTGAGAGACAGATTCCAGGCAAATCTTCAAACTAGGCTCGAAAACCATTCCATAGATTCCACAGATGCCTCTCCTGAAACACTCTGGCACCATATTAAAAACAGCATCCTGCAGTCCTCCGAAGAATCCTTAGGGTTCTCCTTCAAGAAGAACAAGGACTGGTTTGATGAAAACAATCAAGAGATCCAGGAATTGTTGGAGAAGAGGAGAACTGCTCATCAAACACACCTTGCACTGCCATCCTGTCACGTAAGAAAAGCAGCCTTTTGTCTCGCATGCAGCAAGCTCCAACAGAAACTCCGTGACATCCAGAACAAGTGGTGGATCGATCTAGCTGAAAAAACTCAATTATGTGCAGATACAGGCGATCACAAAGGATTCTATGAGGCCCTGAAAACACCATACGGGCCTACATACCAGGTACAAAGCCCTCTACTCAGCGCTGATGGTCAAGCGCTTCTGACAGATAAAACCTCCATTCTGAATCGATGGTCTGAACACTTTCAGGCTCTTTTCAGTACTAGCCGTGTAGTTCAAGACTCAGCAATTCAGTCCATCACACGACAACCGGTGAAGTATGAACTGGATATTGCCCCCATTTTGGGAGAAACTCTTAAGGCCATACAGCAGGTGAAAATCGGCAAGGCAGCTGGGGTTGATGGAAGTCTGGAAGTTCGTCACATGCATGTGGACAGCAAACTTGACCTTCTCTGGAACTCATGAAACTGGAGGCTTGAGGTGATGGGAAAGGGGAGTGACCAAGGACAACGGAGCCACCACCACTACCATGCCACTGCCAGCACTGGGGAAAGAGAGGAGGTGAAGACACTGATTCCCAGGGACATTTACATCTCTTAGTGGTCTAAGCTCCAGACTTTTATTTCACAAGTATACCACACCCATGGTATTTACTGTACAGAAAGGTACAATTCAAAGTGCCTACAAATGACAAAGTCTGGCCCACTGGCAGTAAAATCTCGCCTACAAAGTTTTCAAGTTTATCTGGCAACAGGACTTTTTTTTTTCTTTATTACACTCTATTTTTTAATGTCTTTTTCAAAATTTTCCTTGATTCATGATGTTTTCCAATGGCATAGAAGCATTACATGGATGAGATGTTGTCAGTGCCAGGGGAATTAAGCAAGGAATACCAACCAACACATCCCACTTTCCCATGCATGGGCTTTGCAGCCAGGGCTGTGTCCCAGCCAGATGCTGTTATCTTTTCACTATCCCTAACAGCCAGGGTTACTTCAAATTTGTAGGGTGCTTTACTTGCAGAGTTTCCTTCTGAGTAAAACCACTCAAATTACACCCTTGCTGTTTGCTGCGAGGCAAGAGGGACATTACAAATTACCCGTGGATTCATACAGAACCTAGAGATTTCTGCAGAGCTCTGTGACACGAGTGCCCCAGCCGGCACAGACAGAGCCTGCTGGCCAGCAGAGCAGGCACATGGGGCTGTCCCAGGCACCGTGCATCTGTCTCACTCCCAGACAAAGCTTGCTGCACCCTGGCTGCACTGAGATTCAGGTCACCTAACTGCTAACCCAACACAGTTAGGAGCACTAAAATCACCAGAAAACTGGACTTCTGTGCAAAGGACTGCAGACATGACTTCCCCAACCACTTCATTTTGTCTGACATATGCTGTTAAATAAATAACCAAAGCTTGTAAAAACTGTGCAAATAACAGCACTCAAACATCAACAGAAGTGTCGAGAACAGAGAGCAGTGACAGTCCTCACTCCTTTGGATTTAAATAAATGCAGATAAACAAGATAAATAGAGTATTAAATGTAGTGCACCCTAAAGAAAACCCTCTTTAGTTCACATCCCAAAGCATACTGTAAAACATGGCATATTTGTGTTGGACAAGTAAGCCAAGCAAGGCAATTCTTTTCTGTTTCTCAAGAAATAAGCATTCTGAATGAGGCCATAATGAGTTTTCTGCATCAGCTAGTTTCTAACTTTGGTAATGAACTGACATTTGAGGATACAAATATAAATGAGTTATTTTACTCACACTCTCCCCTTCCTTCCATCATGTTCTTCAATTAATTCTTTGAGTATTTAAAGTGAGGCTCACACAGTACATGCGTTCCTTCTAGAGGACCTTGAACAGCAAAGAGAGGAATTTTAATAAAATGGGTTATGGAAAAATTCAATGCAGAATATCATCTGTGGCTTGTATTTTCATTCATTGGGGTAGGGTAATTTAATTATAATGAAATTACGTCTGGAGGGAGACAAAACAGAAAAGTGAATTAGTCTTTTGTTTGACTATTTGCATCCCACTTCTGGCAAAAAAACCAAAACCAACAACACAGTTTCCAAGCTGTGCAAGGGAACAAAGTGAGACCAGGGTTGGTAGCCCTGACTGGCTGTGTCTCACCTTCTGCTGTCACACAGGGGGAAACACACAGAGCGCAGGTATCGGACACCAGTCGACCCTGTTTCCTGGGTATTGGAAAAAGCCAGAAAAGGCTATCATTTTTTTGTCCCTGCCAATGAAAACAGTAGATGAAGACAAAATGCACCATGCATGTGGCAGAGTGTAGCGCCCTGTTAGTTGTGCAGTGGATACTGAGTTTCAGCTCCCCCAGAGCTAAATAAAGCCCTTTAAACCTTCCTTATTCCAGTGTCCTGCGTAGAAACATGGTTAAACACAGGGAAAGCTGAAACAACGCAGGACTTGCGTGGTTTCCCACTGAGGGAAGCCGCCCTCCAAAAGCTAGCCTTATCCAGAGCAGAATGGGCCGTATCCCTGTATAAAATAGGTATTCCTTTGCCACCACGGCCCGCCCGCTCGGTGCCCTCAGCAGGATGGGCCGGGGCAGGGGCCGCCCTCACCGCGGCGCGGGGGCTGCCGGGAGCGGGGCCCTTCCCCTCAGGGTGGCCCTTCCCTTCCCTTCCCTCACGGGGCCCTTCCGCCCTCAGGGCGGCCCTTTCCCTTCCCTTCCTCACGGAGGGCCCTTCCCCCTCAGGCGGCCCTTCCCTTCCCCTCACGGGGCCCTTCCCCTCAGGGCGGCCCTTCCCTTCCCCTCACGGGGCCCTTCCCCTCAGGGCGGCCCTTCCCTTCCCCTCACGGGGCCCTTCCCCTCAGGGCGGCCCTTCCCTTCCCCTCACGGGGCCATTCCCCTCACGGCCCCGGGGCGGCTCCCGGAGCCCAAAGCGCGGCTGCTGCTCCTCCGCGTGCTCAGCGAGACACTTCGGGGCTGGCGGGGATCGCTTGTGGTTCACCGTGAGGAAAAGCGAACCAGATATGGGCAGATTGCGGAGACATTTCATTTAAATGTGCTGGCAGCCAACAAACGATCAGCTCCTCGTAATGCATAGCACTGGCGGCAGGGGAATCAAGGGAGGGGCTCAGGCTGTTTTTAAGTAACTCGTCACAAGGGTGGAAGTGACACGGGTGTACAGATGACAGCTTGTCCCCCAGGTGATTTTAGACAGCCTTGGACTACTTAGAGTAACTAAGGGTCTTTTCCACAGTCCCTGGCAACTACAGTAATACTCAGAAAGACACAAAAACCCTGTTACTGGTCCAGGTTGCACCTTTCCAACACCTTACTCTCAGAAAACTGTCTTTTCTCAGTTAAAATCTTTTCAACTCCTGTCCATTGTCTTTACAGTTTGCTGGAATGGAATTTTGTCACTTACCTTGCTGCACAGCATCAACAGATGTTGGACCCATTGTCCTGCTCTCCCTTCCCTACTTCAGCACTGCATACATAGGAATGAGGGACAGCTCCCATCAAGGAACTCTAGTCTGCCCGAAGAGTCCAGCAATGAAGTGCCTCTTCAATTCCTGCCTTGGCCAGCAAGATCCTCCAAAAAACTTGTGTCTTCTTCACAGTCCCCTTCTGACCTGCCAGGGTTTTCTGCAGGGCTGAGCATTGTCATGTTGCTCTGAAGTTC